TTGTGTCCCTACCAACATATTTAACCCTGTCTCATTCTGTATGTGCATGTCTTAGGATTAGACCCAGTTGTTCACATGATGTCGTTTAATACTTTGAATTACTTTTGTTTTTGCTCATTGTTTTGTACATACAATATGCTATTTGTTTTCTCGTTTGGATTGTTTTACATTTGTCATGTCGAGGGCTTTTATCGCGCTTGCTTTGTGATATTGGTTTTGCTCATTGTTGAAAGCCATACGGTGACCTACAGTTGCGTCGTACGGTGACCTATAGTTGCGTCATTTCACCTTTGATGGAAACTTGTCTCATTGGCAGTCATTCCACATCTTATTTGTATACTTATGGTAAGCCTGGTATCTTTTTTCACCGTTTCAAGCACCTGTTTACTTGTAAAAAAGGAGAACAATTAGTAGTCATACTCATAATTCATGAAAGCTAAGAAATTAAGCAGAGGTAAACTTTATTAATTAGGCTGCACCACCTTTTCCAGATTTCCACACCAAGCTTTAAATTACATTTGTTGCTTTTGCTTCAATTTCAGTGTTGTTATGTGGACTATTTCATTTTTCAAAGCATTTCTTGTTTCAGCCGGTTATAGTTTAAGCATTTCAAACTTTTACATTTAGTCAAGTTAAACGGTTAAAAAACTTATATGCAACGCTGGTTTAAGGATTCGGTGCCGTCTTAGTGTTACACAAGATGTCAATATGAATAGTTGGTTCTAAAGCTTCTAACGTTTTAAGGTATTTTACAAGGTATTTTATTGTCCCCGAACGAGACTCTAGCCTTCTAAATAGTTCACCGATCCCTATTAGCGTCGGATCAACTGCTTAGAAGGACAAGTGGCGTTTTACCACAAGACATTGACCAATACCAGATATGTGACATGTCATGTAAGGATCGTAATGATGCTATGGGGATAACTAAATCGGTTTGTAAGAGCTAAATTGAGAGTGCATCATCCCTACAATGTGAATGGGTTCATTTTCACGATTGACAAAATATAGGTGACGTAATAGGAAGATAATTGAATCCTGATTGATAAGTTATATGACCAACAATACACTTATGTTTCTGGATTAATAAAAATTGTCTTGATATGTGTTAAATGAAATAAATTTATTTTGGACATTACCCCTTTTTCATTTCGTTTATTTTCATATCGATTCACAAAAGTCTTAATCACATGACTTATATATGCGTCCAAAGTATAGACTAGGGGAAGTTGCTTGAATTGATATTTGTCATTCTGTTGAATTTAAAACTGACCCTTCTTATTTCTGGAAAATATATTTTTTATATAAAAGTTTTGCTGAAAGGAAGAATTTGGAAGACAAACAAAAAGACAGACAAAGCAGATAAACCATAGCAATAATATAATCTGTCAAGGAAGAAAAATTATTTACAGGTTGTTGTTAAATAACACCCATACACTTAAGTGTGGTTATTGGCAATTTTTCAAAACTAAATTTAGTATTAGTCTTTGAGTTACGGATGTAGAAGAAACATTTGACGTTAGGTTTTAAAGTTCAGAGCATTCAGACTTTAAATAAACATCTTAACAATTTGATATTGTTTACAAAAACATAACCAACACGTCTATATATAGAAGTATGACCTATAAATAATACCCAAATCCATCAAAGGTCTACGTTTACAAATAGTATTTCATTTCTAAATACGTACTTTTCTTTTTAGTTGAACATTTCGGCTTTGTTACAATTCAAAACACGATCGTTACACAATTGTCATGATAATCGTGTGGGAATAAACCCTGTTTCTGATGAAATAATTAATTTCATAATTATGAGGAAATACCCGAGTTAAATTTCGAAAAATCATGCAATGTTAAATATAACATAAGAACATGTCATACCAAATCAATATTTGAAAATTTGCCAAAAGAATGAAACGATTCATAAAAATCAAATTTATAGTCAAATAAGAAATGAAATCGATGTTTCGGAACATTTTTGTTCCAGTATGGATACCGAAACACAACCACTACTTTTTTATATTTTTGTTTCTAATCTTTAACGTCCATAATTGTTAATTGGTACCTTATGGGCTTTATTTGAATAACTTTAAAATAATGTATGTATATCGACATTATATTTTGAGTTGGTCTGTTTGAAATTAGCTCACTGAAATGGGTTCGGAAGATACCAAGACCTTGTTGATAAATATTCCGTATGAACTCCACATATAATACATGATGGTTTTGATGTATAGATTCTAGGTACTGACGTTGTTTATCATCTTAATTACGTGTTATAGTGTTCTTTTATTTGTTTTTGTAAATTAATAACCTTTATTGTTTGGTCCATTTTAAGTAAAATCCTTTTGGCGTGGCTCGGTACTTATACATCCCGCCATTGCGTTATTGTGCTATGGTCATTTTTTGTATTTCATTTTTGCGTATGGGCTTTGGCTATGATTGAGATTATTACACAATGTTGACTGCTGTACCCCTATTTTTGACCTTTTAAGCTATCATGTCTGTTTGTTTTGTTCACAAATTGTTGTCAATATAATGGAATTTTATGAGACTGTTATACAAGGGAGAGTTTTAGCTAGCTTTAAAACCAGGTTTGATCCACCATTTTCTACATAAGGAAATGCCTGTAACAAATCAGGAATATGACAGTTGTTTTCCATTCGTATGTTGTGTTAAAGCTTTTGATTTTGCCATTTTGTAAGGGACTTTCCGGTTTGAATTTTCCTTGGAGTTTGGTATTTTTGTTGTTTTACTTTTTGAGTATATATTGCACGCCAAAGTCATCTTCTTATTTTTTGCGAGTGACGCTTATGAGTCTAATACAGACAAAATTCCCGTCCGTCGTACCTAATCATAAACCTGGTACCTTTTTGTGAATTTTTATAACCACTGGGTTGGTGTCGCTGCTGGTGGACGTTTCTTCCGCAGATGTATCTCCAGCCCAGTGGTCAACACTTTTGTGTTTAAATGAAATATCATATGCTGAATTATTCGATACAATTAGAAGTTCCAAAACCCGGAATGCATTTCTTCGTCGTATCTCACACAACACTAAGAATTTTCGGTTTTTAATGAACTTTAACATTGTATTTGATTTGTTTTGTCAACTGTGTTGATTCGGGCATCGCTGGAGAGTCAGATGTAGAAATGGCGTACCTATTATTTGTTATTTTAGTATTCGATACATGAATTTTTCATTAGTTATTATTGGCTTTGAACTAGCTTTTAGTAAATACGAGTACTCTCAGATCGGTACGTTGTGTCTTAAATCTTTTTGGTTGTTGTATGTTATGTGCTTTGTGTCGGTCTGTCGAGTAAAGCCTTTTCAAATGATTTTTATGGTCTGTTCTTATGTTGTGTTGTTACGTTAACTGTCCCATTTGGGGAGAGAGTTGTGTCCCTGCCAACATATTTAACCATGTCTCATTCTGTATGTGCATGTCTTAGGATTGGAGCCAGTTGTTCACTAGATGTCGTTTAATACTTTATATTATATTTGTTTTTGTTTATTGTTTTGTACATAAAACAGCTATTTTACTCTCATTTGGATTGTTTTACATTTGTCATGTCGAGGGGTTTTATAGCTTGCTTTGTGATATTGGTTTTGCTCATTGTTGAAAGCCATACGGTGACCTACAGTTGCGTCGTACGGTGACCTATAGTTTTGTCATTTTACCTCTGATGGAAACTTGTCTTGTTGGCAGTCATTCCACATCTTATGAACTTTCCATTTCTATGTAGCAACATTCCAGCAGCGCCTGCATACGGAGTATATATCTCCCAATTGATACGATATTCCCGGGCTTGTATTTCCTATCATGATTTCCTTGATAGAGGATTGCTGCTCACAAGGAAGCTATTAAACAAAGAGTTCCAAATGTTGAAGTTGAAATCATCCCTTCGTAAATTTTACGGACGCCATCATGAGTTAGTTGGCCGTTATGGAATAACCGTTTCACAGATGATATCGGATATGTTTCTTATGTCGTAACTGCAATACTCTCCCTTTTCACGAATGTGACCTACCGAATTAGACTATTTACCGGATTTGTAATAACATAAGCAACACGACGGGTTCTTCATGTGGAGCAGGATCTGTTGACCCTTCCGGATCACCTGAGATCACCCCCAGTTTTTGATGGGGTTCGTGTTGCTTAGTTTTTTGTCCCTCTGGTATCTTTCGTCCCTCTTATATATGCAACGCTGGTTTAAGGATTCGGTGCCGTCTTAGTGTTACACAAGATGTCAATATGAATAGTTGGTTCTAAATCTTCTAACGTTTTAAGGTATTTAAATAGTTCACCGATCCCTATTAGCGTCGGATCAACTGCTTAGAAAGACAAGTGGCGTTTTACCACAAGACATTGGCAATAAATGTTCGGAAACGAACGTGCGCTTCACTGAAGGCATCAACATATCTCTTTCCGTGATTGGAAAGGTAAGATAACCAGTTGAACTTCATTAGTGCTATTTGGTTAGTGGTACAATAACTTAACATAAAACCCAAGATAATTATACTTTTATTTGTTTAAATATCATACATGGTACACATTACTGACCTGTTAATACTGACTGTTCAAAAAAGAATTATGTTCCTTTAATTTTAAGCTATGGCTATATAACTTCCTTTTAATAGATTTGATACAATAATTCGCTTTGTAAATCACCCAATTATATATACTCTAATCATGTTCGTTATAATTATAATACATTTGGTTATATCCATGAGACTCTGATCCGATTAGTTGTCCGTCACAGTCATACTGAATATTATATATAAATACTGAACTACTGAAATATGGCGTATTGAAGTTGAAATTTCTTCCCACCTGCTGTGATTCACCTAAAAATTTAAAAAATCTTGTCACTCAAATTTCCAATCGATTATTAAAGTTAGGTACAACTGAATTGTGTACATTGAAATGACTTGAAGTTATAAATAGAATATTATGTGTATAAAATAACATGGGCAAACAGTAAAAATAACATTCAACAGGACGAATCTACATAAAATTAATAAAAGGTAAAGTATTAATAGTAAACAAAAAACACTTAAGAAATATGAATCAACGAATCAATGGATGAAATATCAAATAGATGAATAATAATAATAATAATAAAGAATAGATAGAAACATAAACGAATAAAAAATAAATATATAAACAAATAAATAAATCGTCCAATAAAACTATTTTCCCTGAAACTTGTTCAGACGGAAAACAAGATATCTCGTATTTTTTTGTGATGTTAAGGAATAACCAGATATCAGTGACAATAATAAAAATTATGTTGAAGGTGTCAGGGCAAAAATTTTATGATCTTAAAATATGCAATAGTTACTAGCATATAGTGTATGTACCATCAACTACAAACATTGTTTTTATTTGCCACTTTGTAAAATTTAAGATTTAAGTACAAAAACTTTTATGTTTGCGTCTATGTTTGAAAATTTAAGACAGTTGTTTTATATGTATGTGATGTATTTTACACAGTTTTGGTTGCTGGATCCCAATTACTTTTACAATTACCATTTATGTCTGTTTGGGTTGTTCACCCAATTTTGACAATATGAAGGATCTATAAACAAATGTCATCCAAGTGGGGGGTTTAGCTAGCTTTTTAAACCAGGGTTAACCCGATACTTTCTTCAAAAAAATGCCTGTATCATATCAGGAATATGACGGTTGTTTTCCAGTTGTTCCATTGGTTTTATTGCCTTTTTGAATTTGCCTTGAAGTTTTGTATTTTTTTATACTTTTTTGGTATGTGAGTGTATCCCTTTTTGTTGACATGAAGCTCTTGAATATCCCCCAGACCCCGTCCTCAATGTCAAAACCTTAGCTTTTTTGACAAATTAATTTGTCTAGGTCAGATATTTGTCCTCTTATGTCGTAGCATTACATCCATGATATTAACCGGACAGCTTTGTTAAATGTTTTTCGTTTGAAGACTTCGATAATTCGAAGAAAGGCTAATAATGGTATTGAAGATATTATTTCTTAATGTTTTAGTAATTAAATTTGCATAGGCCAAATCATTTTGTTTTATAATTCAACATGGACATTGCTCTTGTGTACGCTATTAATATACCTTAATCTGACATGTCTATTGTGAATGACATATGGCCCTAATGTCGGCTTCAGAAGGTTTTAACCACTCGCCTACAGTACCAGGTCCGCCAGACGACTCCTTATAAGAGTTATAACCCTTTAACGACGATTGTTACCAATGTTTTACCTATCATGATAAATTGTATCATATGTTCACACGAAGGACAAGGTCCTCTTCTTAATATCGAACAAACATTTTATTTGGCTTTCTATTTTAAAAATAAATGCTTTCTTTTAAATATTTCCACGTTGGACTTATGGGGTGTCGAACTAGTGTAGTGTTTGACCAATGCGGTATAGGACTTCTTAGGTGTCGAAGAAATGGGGTGTCGGACTATTGGGGTGTCGGACTAATAGGGTGTCGGAATATCAGAGCTGCTCCTCTCAAAACTATGCAAGCTATGTCTCAAATCTTATGTAAGCTATGTTAACTTCTATGTCATTTGGTCTCTATTGGAGAGTTGTCTCATTGGCAATTATACCACATCTTCTATCTTTTATATTTAAAGTTTAGAAGTGACATGTACTATATATATTCTAAATAACAATGTTAAAATGGCCACCATTTTAACATCATGGACTTTCGAGAGAGAGAAAAAAGTTCTACATCATTTGTGTGCACTTCCTATCCATAAAATATGAGAGTTACTTCTAATCAAACTAAAAGTAAAAAAAGAGTCGCAAAAATTATAAAAAATGCCGTTATTATGCCATCTGGAATTCAAAATTTTTATTGTATGTGCTGAATCTTTGTGTTATTCTGATACAAAATTGTACAGACACAATAATGTCTTTATTTTACTGAAATGTAAGGTCACCACCACAAGACAAAACGCTCAATTGATATAGCATATCTTTCTAATTAAAAAAAAAATCATCATTTCTCTTGCTCGCACCTTATTTTGCCTTTTTAAATTGTTTGATTCGAGCGTCACTGATAAGTCTTTTGTAGACGAAATCTTCATCCCGTTATCTATGTTGAGTTTATTCACTATGAAAAGGGCACTCGAAAAAAAAAGGGAATACAATCCTCAACATAAAGGCCACAGCTGCATGCGGGATTTGGTTTAATATTATCATGTTGCAGATCTGCATTTAAAAAACTGCCATATTTCTCAAACGTGTATGAATATATTAAGTTTTCTATCACCACATCTAAAGTAGAATAGGGGCTGTATTAATTTAGTTTTCATATTTTGTTTGAATATATTTATATATTTGGAAGTCCGTATGTCTTGTTTTAATCTATTCCATGCAATTGCAGTAGGATGGAAAAATGATGTTTTGGTTATATCTGGTCTATAACCGGGTACTGCATAATTGTTACGTCTATCTCGCAATTCATAATTAGATATTTGACAAGTGAAACCACAGAGCTAATCAGGAGAAGACCCTTGATGCAAGGAATAGAACATTTTTCCCTAGCAATTGCCAGCCTGTTTCAAAATACATAGCTTCCCGACTAGCATACACTAGTAACCCAGTTACTATTCTGATATATATATAATTATGCATAGACATTATAATATATCCAATAAAAAAATAAAAACTTTCTTAAAGCGTATAGTTTTACACCAAATAAGAACTAATTTGGAAGAACTTTGTAAGATAGATTTTATTTGGTTGACACAAATACAGAACTTACGATATAAAATCGAAATCTATACGTTGAAAGTGAAAACTAACGGTAAATTTTTCAAAACTAACGCTTAGATTTTCCATACCGTATGAATTAAGAAATAATTCATGGAAGCCATAGATTTGTTGGAAATTTACACATGGCCTGGGCCGTGATATTCGAATTTTATCCTGGGCGTTAGCGAGGGATAAAATTAACGGATAGCTTCCAAAGATTTGTTGGAAATTTACACACGGCCTAGGCCATGTGTAAATTTACAACAAATCTATGGAAGCGATCCGTTAATTCGATTCTAATAGGACAAATACGGTCATTTAACCCTCTTGCTGCCGAGTTTATTTCTTGCTTTGTTGACGTTCATATTAGTGATGTTGCAAAACGTGTGCCTCTCTGCAGAAGAGCGTTTTCACGCCGTCCATAATTTGTCCCGCGTAAATTAAGCCGTAATTAGGGAAAGCAATGTAAAAGTAATTTTATAAAAATGATTGCTCCAAGATTGTTATAAACAATGTTTTTAATACAATATTATTTAAAAACACAACTTTTAACCTTGAAATATAGTTTTGTTTTTATATTTCTTATCTTTGAAAAAATGAAGATATTATACTCATTGCTAATAATTTTACAAGTGCTTTTGTTTTATCTTTGTCAAGTGAAATGCATAAGTGATTCGTAACCACCTCTAAAATCACGGGTGTCATTCAGTATATCGAGAAAAATTATCGTGAACGAATACCTAACGGTGGTCAAGTATTGCGATTGGATCGTGAAAGCTCTGGTAAAGGATCGTGAAGGAAATCTTATCGAGAAGACGTTTGCAAGGTCAATTACTAATCTTATTTAATGAATTTACGGACAAATCTGCCATCAAATAAAACTGTCTGTCAAAATGGTTCAACATTATAATCAGTATCTGAGAATATCAAGGTTTAAAAGTAAACAGTTTTTACAAAACTACAAAAGGCAGGTTGCTCCTCGACATTTCAATGACATTAAATATGTAAACAAACAAAATTGTTTTCATAATTCTAATGAAAAAACAACTTTTCTTTGGAAAATATCATTTCATGTTAATGATTCAAATGGTTTGTAAAGTTATTTTGTGTTAGCATAAGCAGAAATTTTTCAAAAAATAAAATATTTACATAAAAATTATTTTTTGGATCGTGAAATATCGCGTACCGCTTTTGAAGATTGTGAGAAGGATCGTGAAAGATCTGATGCTACGAAAACGTTCAAATCATTATTTAATTATATGATAATTTATATTTTATATTGGTATAGCAAATATTCGATTTGCATGACTCATTCCGGTTCTCTTTACAATGACATTGGATCTGATTTTTTTTTATAAAATACTACACCGACTAGGTGCTTTATAGCAATATTAGTCTATTTGTCAGTCCTCCGTAAGTTTTGATTTCTTATACAAATTTAAGATTGAGAATAGAACCTAATCGGCAAAATAACAGTTCAAGCATGGCATCATGCACACTCGATCTAGAGGTATGGTATTGGATTGGTAATTTCACCCACTTAATTGGTACAATGACGTATAGCTGTGTGAACAGACTGATTAAGCAATCGAGTAAAAATAACGTTATCTTGGTACATTTTTAGTTTATGTCAGCGCAGCCACGAAATAAACAATAAATAATCCATTATTGTCATACGATGTACGCACGACTGACACTCCTCTAAACTGAAGGGAACAGCCCTTTCAGTTACAAAAAATAAATGCGTACACATGCATATATTTTCAGGTCGGAGCCATTAAGCATTACCGATACATATATACTTTTACTTTTAAAAGAATTACGCTCCTGAAGGTTCTTTTTATCTTTGAAATCTACTTATCTAGAAACGTTTTTACTTGAATTAAAAAAAAAGTGAAACAAATGAAAGTACTAATGTCCGTTCTTATTTAAATAATTACACACTTCAACTAGTTGCAAGAATATCAATTGGTAAAAGAAATATTGTTTTCTGATTATTAAGTCTAGTCGGCTTGGGACGTTTGCGCTTTTTGATAGAACATTTGCACTTTTTAATGGACATTTGCGCTTAAATTTTTATTTTTTTATATGTCTGGTTTACCCAAATATTTTTTTTTTATTTTGTCGTTTGTTTGGAAGAACCTTAAAAGAAAATGTGAACATCTTTCCATGACTTTGGTAAATTTTCTTAAGATAACAGGTATACAAATAATAAAGGTAAACAGCGCAAATATCTTGTAAATTTTGTTTAGGTGTATCAAAGTTAAAAGCGCAAATGTCCATATAGTGTTTGAAGCGCAGCCAAATGTCCTTTAGTAATACAGGTAAAAAAAAAACCTCAAACGTCCTCCTGCGTCCGTCTGGTCACGCCTTGTCTTTCACGATCAACATAATGCGTTGCCCGATCTTTCACGATCAATTTTTATTAAAAATCAACAAAATTCAATGTTTTCAGAAACAAATGAACGGTTTCAAGGAAAAACAACTTTTAATTTTACTGTACTATCTGACACACCAAAGATTCAGTTTATAATATATCATTATATATTGAATTGTGACCATTATAGGTACAAAACGTGATTATTTTAAAATGAATCCCATAGACTTGTGTTGCGCCTTTTGTGTTTTCTCATAAAGTGCTACATATTTTCTAAATCTTTTTGTACAATTTTATTAATGAAGTTGAATCATTTTGACAGACATAAATTTTATTTCGGATTTGTTCCGCGTTTTTTAAAATACAGCAGATTTTCTACAGATTGTGAATTAGAAATACAATTAATTACGTTCACGATCCGATACCAGATCTTTCACGATCCGATCGCAATGCTTGATCACCGTTAGGTATTCTTTCACGATCATTTTTCTCGATATACCGAATGACAGCCGTGAAAATACTGGAATATATTTATCCTTGTTTTCTGATTAGCTTAGTAAACCTTGTTATGTTGAGAAATAAGAAGTTAAGAATCTCTCAAATAATCATATAAACAAAACAACGGCACCCAATAAAAATGAAAATAAAAACAATGCATGTACAAATAAAAATAAATAAAACTACTTCGTGTTGTTAAGTAATATATGTGTCAGATTAAAATTTTCAATCCAAGTTATGTTTCGGTATATGAAGAATGAATTTTTAAACGTTATTATAAAATATATATTCATTTTGTTTATTTCTTTATCATGTTTATTATCATTTTGTTGACCACTTACCACTTATTGCATAAAGTTTTATTGAAATGTTTGAAATATGAATTTTAAAAACAGAAAAACGAGGACAAAATCTAGAACTAATTTCTATTGTCTACAATGTGAACCTGAATCAATCATTATTCATGACTTGAAAATATTATATTTTTATTTTCATTTTCTATGATGAAATGCACATGGTAATTGGCATACATGAACTATTTTTTAAAATTCTTTGATTGATAAATTGGTGTTTGCTTAACGTTCAGTGTCAGGTATTTCATGCAATATTTAGGACGACTGAGATTTAATGAACAATAAATATGTGCTTAGTAGGTCCTACAAAGTAAATTTTAAAACATCTGAGATGAATTGCTAAAAATTTACATCGCCACTGTGAAAGGAAGATATGTTGGATAGAAAGAGAAATCATTGGGTCACCTACTAATTTAACACCCTCCTATCGAATGAAAATGAACACTTTAGATTATTGCTTCCATGATGAAACAGTATAGTATAAAATGTATTGAAATATCATATCGCAATACAAGTATATCGTGTTATATTTGTGTACCTTTACAAAAAATACTTAAGAAGTCAATCGCGGCAGCCCAACAAATATTTTTCAGTTCTCTTAAATGAAACGTGAATTGTGAATATGAATGTTTCGCGTAATAATGTATAACAGTCACCTTTTCTGTGATTATTTATTAGGAATGCGATTATTAATAAAGATATTCTGATTAAAAGATATATGAAAAATAAACTTTTAACAAATTTCTCGAATTATGCGACATTTTGCATGAAAAACAATATTAAATAAAATAAAAATAATTAGTAACCACATTAAATAAGTTGGTAATATAGTACTAACAAACTTCTGTATCATTTATTGACATCCGTTTTAAGTATAAAATTATGCCTGTACCAAGTCAGGAATATGACAGTTGTTATCTATTCGTTTGATGTGTTTGAACTTTTGATTTTGCCATTAGATTGGGGACTTTCCTTTTTGAATTTTCCTCGGAGTTCAGTATTTTTGTGATTTTACTTTTTAATACATTTAATTAAGTTTGCTTTAGTCCCGCATAAATCGTCCTTTTTGTGCCGTATTTTGCCGTTGTCAGTGCTCTGTATTGTGACGTTAAAATCAAGTGATATAGTGAAAAATATAAATAAAACATTCCAAAAAATTTGTAAAGTGAGGATAATTATTTTGAATGTGATATTGGAAATGATCAACAATTACAAAATTCTGGATCTAATATAAAGACTATGTGCCTGTTTAATTGGGATATATATCATGGGAAATCAAAAAGAATACTGTGGATAAAGAAAAAAAAATCGTGATATAGTGAAAAATGTAAGAAAATATTCCAAAAAGTTAATAGAATTAGGTATATAGTTTAAAATTACTTCAAATAGTACTACTTCAAATAGTTAAATCTGGAATATTGGATGGGATATCAAATATCAGTGTCAATAAATAAATAAATAAACCAGTTTATTCCTAACTATTATTTTTATTATTTCACCATGCATGAACACTTTGTACAAGGCTAATGTCAATTAGTATTGAACAAATGTCCAAACAAAGGAATGCACACATTTGTAATGATGTTTTTAATCCTGGAAAATTATGGAAATTATAAAATAATTAAGATTTCCACGAAAGTAAAAAATAATTTTTTGAGTTATCTCCCATTAGAAAGAAATAATGAGAGAAAAGAAGTCTTTTTTAACAATATAAAAGAAATCCAAGCACTCATAGTATTTGAATATGAAAACATTACTGTAAGAGAAAATGTAGTGCATTATATGGCATGCAAGTTAATACCTTGCAAGAAAAAAAACATAAATATTCTGGCTTGCTTACTCTTGAAATTTGAAATTACAGAAACATAAAAATCTCTCCTTTTTCTTCTAAATGTTGTTTCTTTGGAAATTATATGGCCAATTACTTCAAGGAATACATTCATTTCAATGAAAAAGACTGTAACTACAATGTGTATTCCCTAAATACTTATTTTAGGATTCTCTAAAGAAAAACATGGGGAAATGAAATTAAAACAAAAATCAGCAGTCTTTAGCAAATATTAGAACATGGAATTACAATGTATTTTGCATATTGTGGCCATATTCTAGCTTTTTTCATACCATATATACTCATTTAAACTGTAGGCATGTTATGTTATTTCACAAAGATAAAACTTAAAACCTAAATGCCACATGGATAAGTTTTGAAAAACATTGACAATTGAACAGGTAAAGTGATGGAACAGAATCAAGGCAGACTCTAAATGCATGCGTAATTACCTATTGTCAACTCTTAACAATACCTACTGGTCATTTTAAATGTCCCAATTGTATTGTCAATTATACAATCTGGTTGAACAATAGGTAAAGGTATACAGCAACACCTATAGTCAAGTCACAGTAATTACTTTATAATTTCAGAAAAAGTGTTCCAATAATGAAAGACTTGATTTTGATGATGGCAATTTATTCCACACTCGGCATGGTAAATGCTGGAGGTGAGTCTGTGCAGTTAACCAAATATTTACATGTACACATCACATACACTTCAGATTGTACACAAAAATAGATAGAATTTCTACTTTTATATAACTGCTGCAGTGCCTCTATGAGGGGATAGACAGAGGTACGGGAACATGGGAATGAGGGGCTGGAAGCGGGAGTCAGTGGCGGAAATAGGGTAAGAGGTGCATTAGAAAAACGATTATTGTCTGGGAGTAAGGGGAGCTAAGTTGAAGTAGGGGAAAGGGGTGGGGGGGGGGGGGGGGGGGGGGGGTGAGGGGTTGGAGTTGTTAGGATGGGAAGGTAGGGAAATGGGAATCAGGGAACCCCTGTCCTCCCCTCACTAATTATCAAAACTAAATTTTCAAATTTTAACATTTTTCTAACCAATATTTAAGAATAAAAGAAAAACGTTTTCAAGCACCTTTAATTATTTCAGAATAACATTTAAAATACATATATCCATCGCTTTTGTAGTTGGTACAGTCATAAGACGAAATCACATGCTTGAACATCAAATTATGGTGTACATACCATATTGTTTTAGCATGCTAAACATTTACGAACCTACTGATCAAAACCTTTAACCTACATATTATTGTCAAACTCATTTAATCACAGTAATGATACATGTATATTTATACTAACGAACAACTTATTTTGCAGAAGTTTTGAATAGTTTCATTTATAGTTTCACTTTTTCCAACTTTTGATTATAAATATTTACATCTAAGATATTGTGGAAAAAGTAGCAAAATTTTATGAATATATTTTTAAAATATTTTTTTTTTGAACAAATTGTTTCCGTGTCCAAATTTACCATGCACAAGAATATGGGTATATGAGAATTCACTTCAATATCTGCGTATGTATTGTTTATACTCAGGAAACATGGAGTGTGTAAAAGTGGTCCCTGTTGAGTTCATTCATACGAACGATATCAACTGACACATGAAAGGCAGTTTTCCTACTATAAAGACTGTTTATTATTAAACCTCGTAGATGTCTTTGATGAGGTTGCAATGCTGAATTACAGTTTCATTCCGCACATCAACTCCTGTTGATGATATTTAGTCTCTTGGAACTCTTGTGCATGTGTAAGTTTGATATAAACACAGTTCGTTTTGACATGAGATTGTTTCTGGAATATCCTTTATCAGGTTCTCATGAAAAGTAAAAAAGGAAAATAATACATCTAAAGCTTTGAGATTTTCAAAAATAAATTTCTCAAGTAACCTTTGCCTGACGGAGTTGCAATTTTAGATTTGCTACAATTATATCACTTGTAAGCTGCATCATTAAAGAAAACCACTATCAAAATATATCTTTTAAAACATGCCAAAATATCGGAGCATTTATACTGGAAGATCATGATGTACCCTTCTTTACATGGTGTATTGTTAAGGAAATATGAATCGTATCAACATTTTGCAGTTTATGTCGCACATTGATTAAATGGTTGCTGCTTATAATACAATGCATCAATGCTCGCATATGGTACAGCAAAACTTTTTCAAACAGGAGTATGGAGATTAATTGATATTGAATTAGTTTAAACGAAAAGGTACGAAATCAAAGAGATTCATGTGAAACTTAATGGTAAACATTTTGTTTATCAAAATTATTGAGATACGAAATCGGCAATCAAAAATCAAATAAAAAGTAGAGAAAGGACAATAGGGAATATTAATTTGTCAGTAGGAATAGGTAGAATGTTTGTTTTGCTATGTATCGTTTAAGTGAGTGTTCATTATTTTTGTTGGTTTATTTTAGTTACTCTAACACTGGAAACACAAACAATAAAGATGGGAGAGTCTCTCATCCTTACATGCACTGTCCATGGAATATCAAAGATCAACCCAGATGTTACAAGACAATTTGCTAAAGGAAGCAACGGAGATCTCCTCTGCTACAACGGACATATAACTCAAACAAAAAAATACGAAGAAATATTGTCCGACGGAAATGAATTTAGATTGAGAATTAAAAATGTTACAGAGTCAGATGTAAATAGTATATACCAATGCCGATATAGATTTTTTACAGTAAAACAGATGATAGGAATCAATGAAATGAATTTTGAATGTGAGTACAATAACTAAAAAGATGATGGGATTCGTTAAAATGCAAATTTAATTTGATAAAAAGTTTGTAACATACCAACGAAAGAAACACAACTCTAGAAAAATTTAAGTCTTTTCTAAACCGCTTTCAACTTTACTCTTATTGATGAAATATTAGAGAACGAAATTGTTTCAAGTAATAAGAACGAATTTTTTTTTTTAAAAAGACTTAACAATTAATATTTTAAACATCAAGCCACTAAAACGATTGTATGATGCTTTGTATCCAGTGATCCTCTGGTTATTTGCAATTATACTGAATCTTTCCATATTTTCGGTATATATTACAGATGGACCGACTGAAAATACAACGTATATTGAATTCAACAATTACGACAATACAAGTTTTGAAATTCAGATAAACTTTACAAAGATTTTTCCTCTACCCATGTGTTCGGCCCAAACGAAGGTAGGTCAAGTTAATGAAAATTAGTACGCTCTATATATTCTTATTTAGTTACTTAGTTTGCATGTTGATCTATATTTTAACATATTTCAACATATACATTATCTTCCAGCTGGTGATTTTCCCCAGTAAATATTTTACGTCACAAAGCTAGTATCTTCACTTCACATTGTCCCTTTACGCGTTTCTCCCAATGTCATCAGATCAACCGGCCAATTCCTAAAATCGGAATTGGAAACTCTTCTTTTTAAGGTTATACGAAAATACGTTGTTATAGATGAATAACCACAATCCCAATGATGCAGGAATAGTAGCTGTATTAGAAGTCTTTATGTGTGTGTGTTGTAAATATTATTTTTCATAAATTATATTCACTATGATTTTTCAATTAGAAAAGAAAATGGTTTGGACTCTATTCCCTCAAAATCCCCACGGCTTCCTATTTTAAAAGATATTTGCGATAAGTTTAAAACGCTGCAAGTTTCTTTTTCAGTTTAAAACCAAGTTCACCTTAAGGGAGGATTGTTTTCTGAGACCATGTCAGATGTTTTTGATTTTTTGTGTCCTTCGGTTGCTGTCTCTCTGACATACTCTCTAAATGTTGTTTTATTTCTAGCATGTTCATACTTTCTTTGTTTTTAAACTTTTACAGAACTCTAAAATGCAGTTCAAAAATACAAGCATCATGGAAGAAAGAATTTTCTACAAAGTATCGTTTATTTTGGTATATGTTGATGGTGACCAATGTGGTACAGATTTGGAAATATATTGTAAAGTCGGTAGATCAAACTACCCTATCGAAACGTTTAAGCCATTCATGGAATGTCCATGTAAGTACACTAAAAGTAAAAATAGGAAGTAAAAAGAATGAACCATATCAATTTCCTACTAATTACTTTGGATATATTTTTCATTCTTTAAAGCGACGATGGATGGATAGATAAATAAACGTGGTTGATAGAATCCCTGTTTGTAGGCTTATGTAAATACCTCACTAGATTTGTAACATACAAGGACACATTATAGGATTAAACATTTTTTTTGGAAGTTTCCAACAAAGGTTAAATCAGAAAAGCATCTTCGTAAGCTTTTGTTTTAGAACTGATGCATATACATCTACTGTGTTTCCTTCTTATTCCGGAAATGAGTTTGAAGGAATGTATGCAATTTACACATGTGTGATGACGTGTGTTATGTGCTGATGTCATTTATGTTCATCCGCAAATTACACATGACTGGATGAAATAAAAATCGTGTTTCATAATGTTACAATTACAAGTGCTGTAATTTACAGTGATAGTATTTTTGCGACTTTGTAAGCATTTAAATTCACGGTACTGTGTTCTCATGTTAAGTGACAAACCCCTTAGGAGCATGTAAAGGGCATACTGGTTTAATATTGGCAGTCTGCGCTAAGGACATTTGTGTCTATAATAAGACAACTTAAATAAATTGTTTTTCAACAAATTACATGAATTCTACTTTATGACTTGTTTTAGACCAATTTCAAAAGAACAATGGTTACGTCACAATGTTGATTTGTCAGGAAATGCCGTTTGGTGTCTTCCGAAATATTTACACATCGGAAGGGTAGTTGTCGCGTACAACGCTTCGTTGCTTCAAAATTCTTTGTGTTAACAGCCATACAGCAAATCCCTGATTTCTCCGTTAAAACCCCGGATTTATTATCTGAGAATCAAATGGAGATAATGCCATCAACAGATGTCGCTGCGCAGAAAAATAATTCCCCGCGTAAGAAGACCCGGTTGGAAATCGTAAATTTATGAAATTATAAGAATCCAAAGATATCATGAGCGGTATACATGTTAAAATTATTTGAAAAATATAAGAAGTCAAAATAATGTATCGTTGAAAAGGAAATTCAAGTCATTAATTTTCAGTCTTCGGAACCGCCATTTTTCAACTTCGACTGTCATTGACAAATTTTCAGCTCGGGACGAATTGACACAGGCCTGGTTTGCCTAGGAAATGTTTATATGACTGGTTTATCTTGATAAACTGGAACATGGAGAACAGAACTAGGATGGTCACATGACGTTACCATTCGTTATTTACACACGAACACAATTTCAGTACACATCACAATTTGGTAAGGGACGAATTGACACAGGCCTGGTTTGCCTAGGAAAAATTTAATATGACTGGTTTATCTTGATAAACTGGAACATGGAGAACAGAACTAGGATGGTCACATGACGTTACCATTCGTTATTTACACACGAACACAATTTCAGTACACATCACAATTTGGTAAGGGACTCCCTATTATTTTTTCTTAAAACTTCTCTGATCTTGACCAACACAGCTCAGAAATATGTCAAACTTGTCACAGAGGAAAAAACAGTCAACTTGTCATTAAAATGAATAAAATCTTTTTTTCTGTGATTTATTTTCCTTTTTCATGCCTCAATCATGTCTTTCAGTACACACAATTACAAAAAAATACCAAATTTTGTCTACTTTCTGAAAAATCACAAAAATATTCTGAATTCAGCACATTTAGCATATACAAATATGTGTGTAAACATCCTAAGATCTGATATATCATAGATGAAAAACAGAGGAAAACAGTTCGAATAGAGTCAGATCTTTATTTTGTAGCTTACAGATGTAAAATTTGCAAAAGAATGAAGATGATACATGTATCACATCATAATATAGTTTTGTCTGTGCTCATTCCCTGTTCATCTTCAAGCAATCATTCATTAGTTGTTCCATAGACGGTTGTTCAATCTGCATTCATTTTACCTAAACTAATCTATATTTATGATGATTTAGTCTATTCTATGTTTACAATTGTTTAGCTACATGTACCTGCATTCGATGAGATTTTATATTAGGTCAACATGGTAATTTTTTGTTCATTCTTTTTACACATATTTAAGTATATGTTACTAGAGATGGTTTTATATGGCTCTGATGGTTTAATTTAGACTGAAGAAAAGCTTTTCACACCCCATGTCCCTGTTTTATGTTGTGATTTTATTTTAATTTAATTACTAAGTTCATAAATTTATACCCACTAAAAGATACAAAATTACATATTATTAGTGAAATGCTATTTTACAGTATATTGACATTTTACTTTTATCATGTGTAAAGGATGTTTTGCAATATTTAGTTATTTGATATACATGATTGGGTATTGGGTTTTAAGTCGTCAAATACTTAGTAGCTGTCACACCCATAATAAGAGTTGAAGTTTTATTTTCTCTTGAAAAATATGAAAATTATTTTATCTTGTTAACTACAGACATGACAACCTAAGGGGACTTTAATTGGTGGATGAGTATCCATGTCATATGCCAAGCTCTATATATCTCTTAAGTCCTGACAAGATATTAATGATTAAAGACAGACACAACTACATTTTATAAATGTTTTTGTTTTTAATCCCCCTTTTCTGAAATGAGACAACACACAACAACAAAAAATGACAGGTTTGCAATCACTGTCAGGTCAAAGGTCAAAATATAGATAGAATGAAAAACCACTGCAAAGAAAAAATAATTTCAAAGAAAAAATGCAATTCTGACATTAATTTGGTCAGGAAAAGATTTTACTCTTTTTTCACCCAGTTTCTAAATAAAGTGCTGATTATATTTTTATCATTTATCAATTTTTCCCAATATTTATTACCTTATTAATATTGCTACTTTACATACACATAGAAGTTACATAGAAATAAGAATATGTGGTATGAGTGCCAATGAGACACCTCTCCATCCAAGTCACAATGTGTAAAAAGTAAACAATTATAGGTCAAAGAACGGCCTTCAACACGGAGCATGGCTCACACAGAACAACAAGCTATAAAGGGCCCAAAATGACTAGTGTAAAACAATTCAAACATGAAAACCAACGGTCTAATCTATGTAAAAAACGAGATACGAGAACACTTATGAACCACATCAACAAACGATAATCACTGAACAACAGGTTCCTGACTAAGGACATGAACATTGTCATAGGTATCATATGCCAGTGACCAGGAGCTGTTACATTTCAGTGTCCATCATTAGACCTCAGACACATAATGACTTAATAATTGCATATATAAACATATGTGACGCCCATTTAGAATGTAAAAACAACTTTAGTCATGTTAGTTCACAGGTATAATTTACAATGGGTCTTAACAGAAATGTTTAAAAATATATCTGTAGAATAGAATTTATACTTTTCATACCCATAATCTTTATAAAATATTTTTTTCATGTAGATCTACAAAGAAAAAAAATCTGTTTCTAAATCCTTGAATTGTGAATCAAAATGAAGTATTCATCTGTATTCAAGAATAATACTTGATTCTTCTAAGGAGATATATGCCTTGAAACAATCATTTCTATCAAAGTATGGCAAAATAGATGTAAACATGCATTCAGGGAAAAAGCTGAAACATATTTTGCCTTTTAATGCTGGAAATGTTTCACCTAAGCTTGGGATCAGTATTTTGTTCTAATAATTTACTGGTCCAAAACACCTCACTTTATATAAATGTTTTTTACCACATCCTTTTTTTTTATTTCTTCTGAAGCTAATTGTGTGAGGTATTATAGTTAAAAAAACAATGTATTTTTTTAACTGAATGTAATAATTGGCAATTTTTCTAGCAATTTTCCTGATTTCTAGATGACTATAAGAATTTGTTTTGGAATATTTCAATTAAATAGTGATTTACAAAAGCAGACATACTTTCTGTAATAAATTCTCTCCCTGTTATGTCCTGACACTTGACAGGTGCTCTCATTCCAATGATTAATTATAATTTCCATGATATTTTTCATATTTACACATTTTACTATCGCATACGGATAAATTATTGGATATTATGCCCCAGAAACACTGTTTCCCGTACTAAACTTGAGCGAATTGCTTATTGTTTCTCGTTTCTTATCAGCCGTCCCTTCAACGGCTTTTCATTCGAGTTATCCCCCTTTGGCCGGTCGTTAATTGTGGACCTGTTGAATTGACACACGGCCGAGATTTGGTAACACTAGGCATTTTATGTTCATAATATCAGGATGTATCATCCCTCTTACGGAAAATATGTTACCATTCCTGGTGTCATTTTAATTTATATTTTTTACTGAGAAGTGTCACGGCCGCGGCACTTTTTTCATCTTTGTCAATCAAATAATCAAGGAAATTTTACATTTTCATTTTTAAAAGAATAACGTAGTGAAAGTTTAAAACCTGCCGTATCAAATGATATATTTGGTTAAGCATGGTAAATACATAAAATATCTTTACGCCGTCGATTTCGTGGCGTCATTGCCGTTGCAAAAAATTATCATTTTTTGAATTGAAAATCACGTGACCAGAATAATAAAATCGATGCCATTATGAGATTTTCTGTCCCGCTGTTAAAGGGTTTATATATATGAAACGAGAGACAATTTTAAAGTTTACGGGCCACACATTAAGTCTGCTGTGTATATTTCTTTCGAATTTATATACAATATAAGTTATATTAAGATAAGGAAAATGGCAATCTCTGATGTATTATGAACACCTTAAAAGATATTAGACTTTAACACACTATCAATGCCACATGAAAGGTCCGACTCTTTTTATGAAACTATAAAAAATGACGGATAGCATTTTATTAAGGTCATCAGGACAGGTTTATATATTTGTCACTTTTGAATAAGTGGAAACTAGTATTCAATTCAACGTTTAAGATTCTTAAGTTTGCAGATATTAATAGCATTGTTCGAAACCCTAAAAATGAAAATGATGTCATTCTGTTTTTGGAATTCTATTGAAAACATGTCAACTTGCTATGCAACCACAAACAATTAATATACGCTTTTAAAATATCACCGAGAATGATTATAATTATCATTTGTCTTACCAAGTCAAACAGATTTGTTTTTCATTGTTCAGAAAAATCAATGGTGTGTGTTTATTTCACTAGGTGGTGTAAAATATTGGTGTCAAATATAAATTTGTTTATTATTTTCATTTTCTTTGTATTTTAATCCATTAAGGTACGGTATACACATTTTTTGTCTTTGTACATTTTTTTTTAATCAAACATGAATAAATCATACTAATCAGATTTCATTAAGTAACAAGTAACAGAACTTGCACACAATATTTCTAAATATCTTTCAAGCATAGCGTTTAGTTGAAATGCATTTATATACAATGTAAAACAGAATATATTGTTGTCCAATGCGGCAACTGATTATTTATTTTTCGTCCTTTTGGAATCCAAATATTTTTCTACAAATAAACTCTAACCACCACCCCTTCCCCTTTGAAGTTAAAAGGTTGTTCCCTTACTTCTTTACGCTTTCATTTTTTATCATGCAAGACGTATTCATTGTTATACAGAAAAAAAGCGGAAATGTAGGGAAACGGGGCAGTTGTCGATCAATTTTGACTCTGGTTGCTTTTTTTTATTAACACAAAAATATTGTGACACTCAAAATAATGACGTCTCGCTTGTTGTTTTGACTTTATTGATTTTGTATTTATTTCGTTGTGTTACCTCGGCGATCTCTCTCAGCATTAACATATATGAATTGACAAGTATGGTTGATGACTGCATGACGTTTAATGTACAATTATCATATTACAGGCACAGTTCCCATGTTTATTATATTGACTATATGTGGAGTGCTACTTATAGGATCTATATCATCGATGGCATTGCTGATCGTGTATAAGAAACGACGGAAACGGAAATTATGTAAGTTTGAAAATGCACTGCACTCACCTTAAATGTAAATTAATGACGAAATGATGACAATAATTACACCATTTAATCTTACTATCTGTTTACTTGTTCTGTGAATTTATTTTAATAGAAAATAAATCACATGCACGATCCAAATTCAAACCAATGTGTTATAATAGTAGATATATCTAATGATCTTTGAAATATATTTTTCATAAAAATAGGGAGATGGGGTATGATTGCCGATGGGACAACTATCCACCAGAGTTCAAATTAGGTGGATGCAAGCATTTATAGGTCACCATATGGCCTTCGAAAATAAGAAAAAAAAAACATCGTGTAGTCAACCTTAAATGTCTCCAATATGAAATATATGAAGAAATTCAAACGAGAAAACTAAGGGCCTAATTCATAACAATCGAATTTACGAAAAAAAAAAAAAAATATGACAGACATAAACAAACGACAACCACTTGGGATAGGAACATGAAAAATGTAGCGGTATTATCTTCCCCTAGCCTGAGACAATGGTGTAGCAGAACAACAAAAGAAACAAACTTTTAAAACCCGTTGAATTGGGTTAACTCAATAGATTGGTACGAAGCATAAAAACAGTTTAAAAAAACCCCGATAAACATAAAACACCGATATAGGAGCACTCGTAGTTACTGAAAGCTTGTTAAAAACCAATTGCAACAAATAGGTAAATCATGTTCTCCCAGAATAATGTATCGATTAGTACACATCTAACATATTTAGTGTACAGACGTAATAAACAGTCTGAGAAACACCCGGCCTTGTGCATTGCCAATATATACTAATAGGGGTGCTCAACGACCATAACTACTCATGAGCGTCGTGCACGGTCGATATTAAAGCTCCGATATCAGAATATGAATGAACAGTACTGACATGATGTATGATTAGGAGAAATCATAAGTGTACATATATATTTATTAATTTTTTATTAAAAAAAAAAAGAATAAAAAAATCGAATCAATGTTAGTGCCGATAAAAACAACATTTTTTTTTTACTTCAGTGTTAAATTGATAATCTTTAGGAATAAGTTTATGCAAAGGATCAATGAGCTTACATGTTAGAGTAAGATTTATTTAAAGAAAGTCCCCTTTAGGGAACGACCATTTAACTTCAATGGGGGTTATGGTTTTTTCCTAAAAAAATATTCTGATCCCCAATTTGATGAAAAAAAAATATTATGGTTAAGCAGATGACAATAACAAACTATTCTGAATCCAGATTCTCCCCATACCTTAAAGTGTTAAATTTTGAAAAAAATAATTTGATTGATAGCGTCGAAAAACTAAAAAAAAATTATTTCTGACTCAGACAAAAAAACCATACCCCCCCCCTTCTTTGAAGTTAAATGGTTGCTCCCTTAATAAATTTCCGAGGGAAAGTGTTTTTTTGAATTTATCTCTTAGATGTAATTTAGACGGATCTTAACTGAGTTTATCCATTAACTGTGATCATAACAATACAAAAACTCGTCTGCTAATTATAAAAAAAGCGCAATTGGTGCTTTTAGCAATGTCCAATAACTATCGGTGAACTTTATTGCCGAAAGAAATTTTTAAGCTTAAATCATTTCATTACAATCATTGTAAGAAGATTTAGAATATATCTCTTTTTCATTATAAAGAGGGCTTTAAATGAGTTGCGGCAAATAAATCTGCAATCAGATTTTTCAAAGGACCATTTAATCAAATATGAGAATTTATGTTTGATAAGATTATGTGGACGTGCAGTTAATTCATAAAGTTCATAGCTGTAAATTGAATTGAACGGATCATTAAAAGCACGCAAAGAGATTTTTGACTCTTCAAAAATGATTAATTCCATTATTTTCATATGCTTTATTTACAAAAATGGATGACAAGTTCTTTGATAGAAGTAATTGACATAATTAACAGCACAGAAAGATATGTCGTACAACACTTTCTAGAAGCCGAGATGAAACTATATTTGAAAGTTTTTATGTAGCATACGTAGCCAATACATAGTAGAGACATTCAATTGTACAGAGGAGGCATTAGCTGAGATGAAGTAGTGACATGATTTTTACTATTTGAGTGTCTGTTGAGCGTAAAACAATTCATAATCTTATTCGTAAGAACCTCCATTTTTTTTTTTCATTACGATATTTTGGTCTTTTTTTTCAGAAAGTATATTACCCGTTGGTCCTGAAAGATATTGAGCTCCCCTGTGTTTACATGACGATAAGGATCATATCTTTATTTCGATTTCTCACAATTTCATGTTTAAGGATCATGGTTTTTTATACTGACGTCAGATGTAATTGCCGTATAATTAAAAAAGTCTACTATTTTCTTTTATACTTATAAGAAATTATAGGTGTTTCTATATTATCAAAATAGGGAGGCATCATGTTTAAAACGGTAAACGAACTTGACCATTCTTATATTTTCAATGAAATGATTTGCTTAAATTTTATTTAAAAAAAAACAACAATAAAATATGGCCAAAGACAAAATTATAGCTTAAATTAATACAAAATGTTAAATTTAACGTATTTTGTCTCCGTAGTAATCATGGTAATTACGAGGTAGATTTTAATTGTTATGAAAAGGTTTGACTTAAGTTATAGCACTAGAATTGTGCATTAGAGAAAGGAAAATTGAATTAAAATTCTTTTTAGATCTAGAGTTCAAAAGAAAATAGGACTGATATCTTTTTTTTAGTAAACATATAATGTTCGTCATTACAGGCACAAAATCTAAAAACAAATCAAAGACAAAAACTGATATTGACAACGCAGATGAAGAAACTTTTTTATGATAAAGGCGGAAAATATAATATGGGGGCAATCAAAAACCATTAGATGAAGGAAGAATGCCAAGACCATGCCAACGAGAATTAAGACGAAAAGACAAAGGAAAGTAGACAGAAAAAACTACACCCTTAAGACTCAAGTGTCACAGTCGTGTTCTCGTTTTAGTGGCTATCAAGTGATATGTTACAGCTGATAAATATGGATAAATAAGGACATTTGGCGGAATGTGGCTCCGGTAAGCGGAATATATCCATAGTTATCAATCACATAAGCATTCCCTATCGACAACTCAAATATTGATGGCGTCCGTATAACATTCGAAGAGACTGTACCAGTAAGAAGGCAGTACACTGTAAAAAAGGCGTGTAGAGTCTAAACATGATCCTAAACAGAAATGTGTTCTCACTTGAGCACATGTTTAACCCTAAACATATTTTAATTTATTTCAAATCTTCAGGGTCTCAAAATATGTTTAGGGTTAAACATGTGCTCAAGTGAGAACAAATTTCTGTTTAGGATTATGTTTAGACTCTACACGCCTTTTTTACAAAATTTTTCCCCATTAGAACATAATTCACCCTAAACGTGTTTAACCTGACTAGAACACGTTTAACATCCATGTGTGCCTACCCTAAAAATGTTTACCCTCCACTGTGTTCCTATCCTATACATGTTGAGCCTCCATTGGGTTTTCATATTAAACATTTTTAGCTTGCAAAGTGTCTGTGTCTCCATGATTTAATCTTCTCTTGTCCGGTAGTAAATATTTATCGCGTGGTTTGAGCAATTTCTTCAGTCAATGAATCGCTTACGGTAACCTTGAAATTGTATTGTTTTGTATATTTTATATGCATTTGTAATCTGTATCCTTTCTACTATATTTACAAAGAGATACTCCAACACTCATCTGCTGTCTGTGTCTAACATAACATTTGAAGAACCATCTTTAGATGTGCAAAAGAAGCTAGCTACATGAAACAGATTGTAACAATCCACAAAGTATCATGTATAAAATACCTTAATTTTACTTGAACACAAAGAGTTGAAACATGCGTGTAATTTTCTGTCTGATTGATTCTAAAAATATACTATACAGTTTTTATATACTTTATTACAATAATTAAATGTGTGCTTTATTTCAAAATCCATTAGAATATATGTAGTTTTGATTTGTAAACTGGTTAGACGTTAATTGGTTCAGAACTTTATCGATATAAAAAATGCTTCCCCCTTTTTGTATCTATTGTATCGAACTTTGTGGTGTCTAAAATGTCGATTGAGGACACTCTCTAGCTGCACCGAATGACATTGTAATAGACAAAAATATTAAATTCAACTTTTCTGACATTTCCGTTGTCGCTTTTGAACCTTTCCTGACATTGTTTGCTGATCTTCTGCTTCCCGGAATTTCGATTTTTCAAATGCATTATTATTTGCTTCCTATTGGTTGTTGTGCTCCTAATCTAAATATGTTTTGGCACATGTGATGATAAGCTGATACTTATATATAACTTCAAGTATCTTGTGTTGTAACACTAAACATGGATAGAGGAATATCACGTTTAACATTGAAGTGTTTAGGATCATAATCCTAAACATGTGCTTAATGCGTGCTATCTCTAAACTCCCTTTTTACTGTGTATAAGTTGCAACCATTTTTTAAATATATGATGGATATTATAAGCACTTTAAGTATTTAATGAACTATTGCATGCTTTTTCTAGGTTTCTCTGTTTATAAATATATTCATCAATAAAGGGTATCTTCCAATACGAGAGCAGCCCTCAAAACCTAAAAACAGAAACGAGATCAACAGTGTAGCATACGAATTTCAACAACAAACAAGTGTTTATACCATATGCCAGTCACTATATTATCTCAACTCTTCACAATTTATGAATAACAGATATAATTAATTACAACAATCTACTCTATTGTCTATTTTCATTTCTTTTTCGGTGTTTTCTGTCCGTTCCTAATCATTTAAAATGTACATTTCTTTGTTGAATCATTGGTCCCACAAGTCTTTTTAGTTATCATTTTATACAGAGATAATGAAAGTATATGGAGTAAATGTACATGGGACAAAATCGCACAAAATACATAGAAAACATAGAAAATTATCAATGAACAGGGCTTTTATCCCTGTTCTTCTTCTTGACAGTTGATGTAGGGTCTTCAACAATGAACGAATCATTCATACCCTACAACAAGGTCAAGACGGCCCCTAGCGTCGACTTAAGCGGTACTATTGATAAAAATAAACCACAGTTCACCTTCTTGCTCCCCACCCGCCTCGGAGTGCAAACTTGTGGTATGCTTGTGTACGACGGTTCTCCAGTCGAAAGCACCAGGGATACAAGAAAAGTGCAGTAATTTTGAAAGACATCGATCGCCGTTGAAATATGCCTTGAAGTTATACATGTCGGGAGCGGTCAATGAATTATATAATTTATAATTACGGGCGAGTTTTTTCAACATATATTTGTCATACATTGCCCAAGAAAAAACCAATAATTTCGAATCAACAAATGATAGACAATACATATAAAACTAAACAACAAATGATAGACAGCACGGGGCACATCGAAATATATGTAAGAAAACCTAGCAGTTTAAAATAGTATGAAAGGGCAATATACAAAACAGATGACTAGACCAGTATTTTGAAGAAATTTAACCAAACCTGAAATTTTGACGGTGTATTAATATGAGAAATTCTCACATGAACAAGCCCACCATAACTGTAAATATTATAAGAGCATACACCTCAAGCACGGGAATTATGTATGCAGTGACGTTTAAAATTTCCTTTGCACTAGGGAAACATTAATAATAAAATTGAAAAAAAAAGTTGTGTACTACATTAATCACATATACAGAGACTTTGGTGTCATTACGATCCAATTTGCACCAATTTTATATTAAATAGTTAATTCAAACAAAATTATCGCAAATAAGTTGTGGCACAACAGAGCCCCTATTGGTTAAAACGGATTTCTCTCCAAATAATCAGGTAAACAAGCACACACATATACATATATAGAGAGATAAAGAACAAAAACGGTACATGTAACATATATAAGCACACATAAATTTAAAATTTTACTTTAAAAAAAATTACAGTCCATTTCGGTGATTTTAAAAACATCTCTAAATAAATGCAACTGATTTTATTTTTTTGTTTAAATTTTATGTTTTTAACTTTAAGCTTTTATACCATTTTTTATTGAAAAAAGTGATATTTTTATGGTGCAAATTTTTTTTCCTTTAAACTACCTTTTCCTAATAATTGAATTTTGTTCTTAAACAAAACCCATTAACATAAACACTATCGTTTCAGTTGATTGTGTTGGCATTAGAGGGATAGATTTTTTTTTATTAAATGTAGACATTCCTGGAAAACACCTATGATATGTATTAAGTTACTTGGTGCAAGGATAAGTATTTAAAAATCTCTGCTTGGTGACAACATCCGATCAATCGCTAAATGACAGTTTGGATTACCCCCATTGTTTGTTTTCAATTGCGGAAATACGCGTTCAAAACATTACATCACGTCAATTTCTCATTTCCGGAACTTCTTGAAATGCCTTATAAAAACGATTAACAAAAAAACCCTAGAGAACCTGTTATGATCTATAGAAATTAACAAAATATGAAGCAGATTGGAACCTTTTGATCTTTCGTGGATATTTCCTCATAGATAGTGTTTAATTCTAAACATGGTATTTCATCCGAAACTTCTCTAACATGCAGTAACAGGAGTAAGGTATATCATTTGTATTTTTGTTTACTTTTATTTATTGCTTCATTCATATAAAACTGTATGTATTGAAACACAATTTACATCATCCGGTTGTATTTTCCGAAATAAAAATTGAATCACAGAGTTATTCTAAAACAAGTTTGTATAATGTAAAACCAGTTTAATTTTGTCGGTAAGTGAACTAACATCCGTTTAATTTACACCGTCCGTCCAGCTTTTAAAATAACGTGCAAGTTTTACCAGTTGTTTCAAATGATGCCCATCACGCCCATAATAAACGCTTCCCCTCGGAGAAATGTTATGTTTAAAAAATTTCATCATGAGTGATATTGTAATGATGTCAGTTGGCAAAACTTTATCGTCATTTTTATTTGCAGCATGGTTATACTAAAAACATATGTCCAGCTTCTTTAATTTTAACTTGAATTTCTATTCAATATGTGTAGATTTACATAATTTTTTATTATATTGCAATGCTGGTGATGATTTTTGCAGTAGTTGTGGGAATCTTTTGATTATTATGACTATTATTACATGCGAGTACCTCATACATGATTTAGATGATGGCTTATGTGCCGGCCAGGTAATTCATCTTCCGGCATCAGATACATTTTTTCCACATTCTACTCTTGAGACTATTGTATGGCACAGTTAAAAAGCGGCAGGGATGGATTTAGGTTTGGAGTAGAAATCTTATTGGTAGTACTCATACATGTCTGTACAATAGAATTCACTCTTCTCTTTATTTTTTATAGAACATTGTTTCATAATGATAATAGATGTCTTTTAGTCTTCTATTTGAACATGAGAGAACGGGTGTTTTACGTCATTGAGACTAAAAAAACGGAACATTTAGAGGATCGCCTTCAGGACTTAAATAGACAAATGGACAAGTATATACAATATATGTCAAGCTTCATGCTGTCCCGTCTAGAAAAAGTAGAAAATATAGATTATCAAAGATCTGTCAACACATTCACGCAGAATCACAAACACACATTATACGTATTCTATGTCATAAAGACTTATTCCATTAAACAGCTAATAATACGAATGATTCTGAAACGGATTTCCGTTTAACATTTGAAGTAGAAAGTGTTTCCGCTGACTGCTATATACAATGAAAATTGCATTTATTTTCTTCTCTCCCTGCAGAGGTTTGTCGTATTTTACGGAAAACAGACTGGATACGTACAAAGCATACCGTGTGGATATGTTCTGAGTATTATGCTGACCATTTGTGTTCAACATGATACACTGGAGCTTGGTTTTTGCATCTTCACTCGCTGTAGTTGCAGGATATGTATTAGGTAAACATATCATAAATTTAGGCAATAGTAGTTTATCAATGTTCATATCCCATAAATCGATTCAGAAGATACAAATCAAATTAACAAATAAAAGTTGAAGGGATTGCATGGACTTCAAAAGGAGCGATACCGGTGTGTCAACAGGATAGGGGTCTCCTGCTATGCATGCATCATAAATAACTAAACAATTCATGCAATTAAAAAAGTAGATGTGTGGTGAATTACATACCACAAAACATTTAACATCACATTCTCGACAACAAATAGATGCAACGAAACTGTCCAATTGTAATACGCGTTCTTTTAAAAAACACAAGCAATCAATATCTATATGTTAACAAAGGGTAATTTTATAAATGATGGATGTAAAAATGTGATCTTTATGAATATATGAAAAATAAAGAGATGTGGTATGATTGCCAACCAGACAACAATCCACCAAAGTTCAAATAAAGTGGATGTAAGCAACTATATAAAAAAGAAGATAGGGGGGGGGGGGGGGTATGGTTGCCAACGAGACAACTCCACGAGAGACCAAATGACATAGACGTTAACAACTATATGTCACCGTGAATGACAAATTTAAAACATTTCAAACGAGAAAACTAACGGCCTTATTTATGTACAGAACAATGAACTATAAACAAAAATGATAAACAGCAACAAACGACAACTACTGAATAACAGGTCTTGACTTGAGACAGACACAAACAGTGTGGCGGGGTTAAACATGTTTGCGGGCGCCCATCCCCTTACCTGAGACAGTGGTGTAACAGCACAACATATGAATAAACTACAAAAATCAGTTAAGAAGGCTAAACCCATCAGATCGATTCAAAACACAAAATTAAGTAACAAAACCACAGACCAGACGTGGCAGAGTATTTATACATCCCCACAGCAAAAAAAGACAGTAAGTACAGATTTGAGAGTACTCGCAGTTACAGACAGCTAGTTCAAAGCCAATAACAACTAATAAAAAAAACATGATCTTGCACAATGCCAAAATATAGGTGTCGACAGATTGTAGGTCAGTCAATGTACATATGTGTATAACAATACTTTTAAGTTGGGTTCGATCTTATTGATACCAAATCAATATTTATTCAGATACAACAATATTCAAAGATCTAATTACAGTATTAAATTGATAACTTTTAGAATAAGTTTTATTGAAAGGATCATATTTATATGTACGGGCTCGGTAAACAACATTATCGTACAAATTAGAATGTGCTATCCCGTTTCTAATAAGTTTTCGAGAGATACAACCAAACTTCAAAACCACTAGGAAATTTTACACAGATTTTTAAGACAAAAGGGTCGATATGTCATTCCCTATTAATAACTTTCCTTTTTTGGATGGTGAAGTTGCTTTGGCTCTATCTTACGGTGTTTATCTATTCCAACTCATTCGCTATGCCAGTGCCTGTAGTTACTTTAAGATTTCAATGAACGTAACCTATGTATTACTGGTAATCAGTCAAGGACGGGCGAAAGATACCAAAGGAACATTCAAACTCCGATAATCGAAAATAAACTGACAACGCCATGACAAAAAACGAAAAAAGACCAACAGATCAAAAACAGTATACAAAACAAAAAGTAGAATAATACAGACTAAGAATCACGAACCTCATAAAAAAACCGGGCATGATCTCAAGTGCTCCAACAGGTTAGGCAGATCCTGTTCCACCTTTGCCACCCGTCGTGTTGCTTGAGGATTTTTTAACACAAAATACTTGAAACCTTCACTACAAACTTTCATAGATACAAAGATTTGGTTTGATTGATTGATTGATTGTTGGTTGCTTAACGTCCAGTGGCAAATATTTCATGCATATTCAGGACGAGAACACATTAACAATAAATGCAATAGGTAGGTTCTGTAATAGAGGCGTCCAGGATTAAGGTCGGAGAAATTTAGAATGCCACGGGAAATGAGGGTATATTGGATAGGAACAGAAATTTAGCCTTGCAACAGGTCACCTACGGACCCCTCAAAGAGTTGTTGCAAGGGTTCTTAGCGTGCAAAGAGCGTGGCACTCTCTTTACAGGAGGCATCGGATTTAACGTCCCCATTCTGACCGGACTCGGCTGCAAATTTGTACATCCCGCACAGCCAAACGGACGCCCCACTTTAGCAAGGGTTTTACTGCCGGTCGGAGGAAGACCAATGGTGACCATACTTCTATTCCCTAGTCACCCTTGGGAGTAGATTTGGTTTGAAAGTTTGGCTGTAGTTGAAGAGACTTATTACAAACGGAGAAGCAGATTCTAATTGTAACGGAAGGTTTTTCATGTTTATCGAGACCATAAATTTCGATACGATATGTGTAAATTTATCGACCCTTTAAATAATCTAATTCTAAAAGGTTATCGTGATCAATTCTGCCCGAAAGTACCATCTACCCAGTAGTCAGCACTTCTGTGTTGACATGAATTATCATAGATTTAACTCTAATCATAAATTGATTGATTACACAAATTTGAATAATTCGAATCACTAAGGATTTTCTATCCCAGAAATATATTATCTGGTTGAAGATGGCAAAACCTTTCGGAATTTAGGTCCTCAATCCTTTTCAACTTCGTACTTTTTTTGGCCTTTTGCAACTCGTTTGATTCGATCGTCACTCATGTGGTTTGTTTGACATTTGCTAGTGGAGGTTTCCTCCCAGAGGGTATAACCTGCCAAGAAGCCAGCACTTCTGTGTTGACATGAATTATCATTGATATGGTAACAATTATAAATTATCTGTTTACAAATTAAAGCTTTGGATTTTTCGAAATACTAAGGATTTTCTACCCAAGGAATAGATTACTTAAGCGGTATTCGGCAAAACTTTCGGAAATTTTGGTCTTCAATGCTTTGCAACTTCGTTTTTTTTTGTTTAGTTTTTTTATTCTGTTTTGATTCGATCATCACTGATGAATCGTTTATAGATTAAACGTGCGCCTGGCGTACACAACTTTGGTCCTGGTATCTATGGTGAGTTTATTTACAACCATTATACAATCTTTTCAATCACAATGTTTTCGCCCACGATATCTTATTATCTAGAATGAATAACAATTCAGTATAATGCCAATAAAACTTTGCAAAGAATTATAAGTTATTCAGAGACGCTCCAAAGTATGATGGTAATGTTGTCTGTAAAGCGTCTAAAGTATAGACAATATATTTTACATTTACACAGCGACAGGATACATTTTGCTACGGCATAGTTATCTTGTTTTTACCTTAGATGCATGCCTTCCGATACCACTGAGTTAGATTGTAAAAAGGTATTAGCTCGAGTTAACCCTCGGCCCGTCCTCGTTTGGTGTGGTTGGTGATGTTTTGTTTGCTGTTATGATAGTATTGTCGTTTTTTTTTTCGAAGTATGACTATTGATTGTCCCCGGAATAATTGAGTTCTTCCTTCATTTTTCGTGAGGCACGTAATGTACAATCTTTGCTTTTTCTGGTACGTTGTTATATTGACCGTTTGTTGGTTGTCTTGTTGTCGTATTTGTCTTTTAATTGAAGTGTTGTCTTTCTTATTTTCAGGTTGTGTTGTTAGTTTGCCCACTTATATCTGTTTTTGTATCTTATTTTTTTTAACTGTCTTGATTTATGATTTAAACACCCTTTGATAACAGGGAAATAGTTGCACCGCCTGTTTTAAACAATACAACCGGCGAGTATGATAATCAAATAGTTTTCGGCAATAATTATTCAGTGAAAGGATTGTCTACGTATTTTGCAAATAAAAAAAGATATGACATAAACCATTATATTACGTTTCATCGGAAAATAGCAATCTCATTTTTTTTTCGAGGGACTGTATAACATATTTAATGTAACGAGATAGGTAGTGAACTTTTACTCCTGAACCGTACCTTCGAATTAAGTATTTGGTAAACAGAAAAATGATCTGAAAATGTTTCACGACAAAGCAAGCTCAATTTAAGCTTGTTACCAAATTGCAGGACGCTTTAAGCAATCGGTCATAAAACTATTTAGTACTCGTAACAACATGAGCTTGAAACTCCAAAATCGAGTATTTTGATTGGTGTGATATCAGAGTCTGAGTACGATAATCGTACTGAAAATGTTTATGATAGTAAGGCCAGATTTGTCGATTATGAGAATAATGCCATGACCTTTATTTCGTAAGAACGCACCGACAAACAGAAAAAACAGACAGATGTAAAGCAGTATACGCCCTCTTTCAGAGTAAGGTTATGGATAGGGTTGAATATAACGCATTACCTCTATGGTATTCGAATGAACAAGTTATACGGCTTATTATAGGACAAGTGTCTTCAGCTGTATAACCAAAGAAATAATAGTAATATAACTCTTGCTAAATGGAAACACTAACACACATTCCGCATAGCAAGCTTTAAAACGTCTTGACATAACAAAATGTTAAATAATTCAAAAGAGAGAACCAACAGCCTGATTTATTGAGAATACAACAAACGAAATTAAATATGATAAACAGCAACAAACGACAACAAATTAATCACAGGATGGTGACTTTTGACAAGAAGTTACATAATATGACGGAGTTACACACGTTTGCGGTCGCCCATCCCTCTAACATGGAACAGTGGTGTAACATCACAACATACGAACAAACTATAAAAATCAGTATATGAACAACCTTTATAAAATCAGCTGAAAATGACTTGACTCATAAGATCGAACCAAAGCACTTAACCAACTTACTAAATCACAATTGACAAAAAGTACAGATATGAGATTACTCGCACTTACTAAAAGCTAGTTCTAAGCCAATAACTAATAAAAAAATCATGTATCCAAGACAAAATATCAATCGATACACATCCAATGAATTTAGTGTAAAGAAGTTATGAAAGTCCTTGAAAATATAACCGTGTGCAATGCAAAAATATAAATATCGACACGGGTAGTGTTTATTACTGTAAAGCAGTGCAAATCTACGTATTGTTTTATTTATTGATTTAAAAACTGTAGAGCAATACAAA